TTCTGTGGCAAAGAGCACACCCAGCACATAAATCTTAATTTCTAATAGCATTCTCCAATAAAAGAAATCAGATCTCCTTAGAAATATGACTGATTCCATGACTAAGGTAGGAAATATATACCATGAGCCTAGATCATCTTGTAGTGCCAGAAAATAAAAAAGAGCTCCAAAAATAACTAATAAATAAATGAGAGCATATCAAGGAGGGACATAAAAGCCAACTGAAAAAACGCCCCCAATGCTCAAAGCCAGCACAACGTAAAGAACAACATAAATAAAGCTGTACTGAATTATAACCCAAAGGATAAAATAAATAACCCTGAGTCCATACTGATATAAATGATTGATTACATTTTAAAATGAGAGTTGGAAAACTCCTGTTCAGAAGAATTCCAGTAATTTATGTAGCTACTCCCCACTCTTTATCTTAACTTTTCTTTAACATAACTCCCATATCTTAAGAGTGGGCTGTGCATATTGACTTCTTTCCAAAAACTGCAGTTTGGAAAAGTGGAAAATAGAGTAATTTGAAGAAACCTGACAAATTAACACTAGTCCAGTCTGGTGATCCGGGTTAACATTAAGAGAGTTGATAGTCTGTACTCCTAATAAGATGTGATGAGACTATCACTCTATTTCTCTCATCTTTCTTTCCAAAACCCACAACCCCAGTTTAATCATGAGAAAAACATCAGACAAATTGCTCCAGTTAAGGGACATTCTAGAGACTATTGACCAGTAGTCCTCAAAACTGTCAAGATCATCACAAACAAGAAAAGTCTCAGACATTTTAACCGGTAAGAGGACCCTACCAGGAGACAAGACAACTAAATGTAAAGTGGTACACCAGATGGGATTCTGGAACAGAAAACATCAGGTAAGATCTAAGGAAATCTGATTATAATGTATGATTACAATGTATGCAGTGTATATAAACTGATACGTTAGTTGTGACTAATGTAGATATCAATAATAGGGGAAACTGTGGGTGCATAGGATACGTGGCAACTGTGTACTATCTTTGCAACTTTACTTAAAAAAATTCTAAATCAAGAAATTTGTTTAAAAAAAAATTAAAAAGAGAAGAAAGCCTCCTCTACCTCTCTCACAGGAACCTCAGGTAAGTCTGTATTTCTCCAACATGCATGCATTGTTCAATACGAGTTCCCGAGTTCCACATACACAGGGACAGGGGAAAAGACGGACTCTAGGAGAAGCTCTAAGCAGCTGGGTTTCAGAGACATGATTGTGCAGATAACCACACCAAGACAAACCTGCACACATACAAAAGAGAGGAACAGAAAATGTGCCACTAGTTTTCCAGAAGGAGAATGCAATACTGCTAGACAGGAATATAACTGTATCTTGACGCTTACGGAATCCAAGAAGAAAGACGCTATTCGAAAGAATTCCAGAAAGGGAAGAATACGCATATAAAGCAGGACAGCACAGACTATGTACAGAAGACGCAGCATTGTTAGTTTTGAAGCACAACTAGCCAAAAGGTAATAACAACAGTAAAACAAGCCACTTTGAAGTCACAGTATAAAGCAGTTTAGAAGCAGTGATGCTTTCCCTGATGCTGGGAAAGACTGAAGGCATGAGGAGAAGGGAGCAACAAAGGATGAGATGGCTGGATGGCATCACCGACCCAATGGACATGAGTCTGAGCAAACTCTGGTAGGCAATGAAGGACAGGGAAGCCTGGTGTGCTGCAGTTCATGGGGTTGCAAAGAGTCGGACATGACTGAGTGAACAATAACAACAAAATGTAGTGAACATAAGAGTTTTCCAAGTGTGAGTGACATCACTCTTCCCTGCATTTATTGAACACCTAATTTTGCAAACAAGTATGCTGCACACTTTCCTGAGGGGAACCATCCCTGAATACTCATTGAAACGACTTAGCAATGACATCACTGTTGCACGCTGGCTCAAAAATCAGGTTGTACTTTGGTAGCGTGAGTCTGATGATAGAATGTGAAACCACTGGCTGTTTAAAAGGTTAGTATAAGAGCAGTTGTCATCCAGTCACTCAGTCCTGTCTGATTCTTTGAGACCCCATGGACTGCAGCACGCCAGGCTTCCCTGTCCTTCACTATCTCCCGGCATTTACTCAAACTCACATCCACTGAGTCGATGATGCCATCCAACCATCTCATCCCCCGTCACCCCCTCCTCCTGCCAAGAGGAGCAGCAAGAGTAAAAGAGATGAAAACACCTACATTGAACATAGCAGGAATGGGCAACAGATCTGAGGCAAACAGTGGATCATTCAGCAGGTAACCAGCACAATTCACATTTTATTTTTTATTACAGAATATAGTAGAAATTCACTGCTTAGGAATTAGGAATTAGTTTTATTTGGAATTGCATGGCTGAAGGCAGCACCAAAATCTTTTCAGTTCTCAGACTTTTGTAGAAAAGAAAATAGCTTCTAGTGTAAGAGGCAGTGAGACTCAGAACTGCGAGGGATGGACAACAATTTGACTCTTCAGCCTTCCACTGGGCTTCCCCGATGGTTCAGCGGTTAAAGAATCTGCCTGCAACGCAGGAGGTGCAGGCTCCATCCCTGGATTGGGAATAGCCGCTGGAGTAGGAAGTGGCAACCCATTCCAGTATTCTTGCCTGAAAAATCCCATGGACAGAAGAGCCTGGCAGGCTACAGTCCAAAGAGTCGGACACAACTTAGTGACTATGCGTGCACGCTATAGGAAAGGAATTCTGCCCGAGCTAAAGAAAACAACTAAGTTTTAAAATGGGATGATTGGAGCACGATATTATTAAAACACACAGAGGAGTGGGGGAGTTGTAGGAATGGTTGTATTTTTATTTTTCTTCAGGCGTTGGCTGGGGGATGATTGTGAGAAGAGGTGGGAGATTTCATTGAAAAAGTCTTCACCTTTTAGCTAGATGGATCTCACAAAACCGATGACCAAAGTAAAAAATTATATACATTTTTTTTTACTCCTTTTTCATTAGGAATTGTGTTACAATTTAAACAGATATACACCCATTCCCTATCTTCTGGTGGGGGGGTGGAGAGAGAAAATGATAAACTAGAAGACACAAAAATAAAATCTCAATTTAATTTTGCCTATTTGACACGACAGTGCTACTAAAATCTAGTTAACGTTATTCTTATTCAAGTGATTCAACTCACATTTATTCTGTACCAGCTCTTAGAATTATAGAGTTCAACAATTCTAGAGACTAATTCCAGGTAGAGAGGCAAATACCTGGAAAATATTTTCTGGTAGATTGAGAAGTCCTAACATGTAAGTCAGGTCCAAAGTCTTCTAGAGGAAGTCCAGAGATGTCAATGAATATTTCTCTGAGATGATTATATTTGAGCTGAGCCTTGAAAGAAGTACAAGCGATGTCATATAAGTGGTGTGAGAAAGACCCGGAAGGTCTCAAGAATGACAGACACACAGTTACATAACCAAGGACATCGCCCCACCGGACGAATCACGCCTAAAGCACGGTTGCTGCTATTGTCAAGGGGATAAAGTGTGGGAGACTCTAGCATGCTGTCTGGCTTGAAAAGGTGGTGAACTGAGTTTCCTTGCTTCCTTTCGCAATGTTAGTTTTAAAAGCTGTGCAGCACAGCATTTCAGAGGCTCTATTTTTTAATTCAACTCCTACCCTGCCAGTTGCTAATTATGAGATTCTAAATAAGTTGCTTTACTTTTCAGTATCTTCATCAGTATAATGGGAAGAAGAATATTTATTTCATACAGTACTGACAGAGGTTGAATATATGAATACATGCTTAGAACGGAGCTTAGCACATAGTAGGGTAATGAATATAATTACTATTTTTAATGTGAGGAATTTTCAATTTATAATTTTAAGGCTTTTAATTCTAATTTTATTAAGTGAATTGCATCTTTGCTTTACTAGGTGGGTGCACAGCTGGAAAGATTTAAACAGTAATGGCTTCTTGTCTATAATGGTTGTGAAACAGTGAAACATCGTCAAAAGGAACTTTAGATTGTCCTCCCCCAGCATTACAATAGAATAAAACTGATTTTTCTGGAAAGAGTTAAGAATGATCCGTTGAATAGGCAGGGTAAACTAGTTAACATCCTAAATCCTTTCTATACTCATGATCCCTTTATTTAATAGATGCAAAAAAATGTCTAGTACAAAATCAAAAGTAAGTGGAGAATCTCTTAATTGGGTCTGCAGTTGTTCTTACCGTCCTTTAGATGTAAGACTGTGTGTTTCCAGAATGTACCAGTACAATAGTAAAAGGCTCTGTCACTAAATACCTCCAGCTATGTCACTCCATGCTTGTGTAAAGAGCTATATATCCCCGTGTCCTCTGGGGCAGAAATCTTGTCCAGTGGTTGCTTCAGAAAAAAAAGCTTGGGAAATTTTCCAAAAGTAATCCCAGACTACTTTAAGTTCTCAGAAAAAGGAAAAAAGGCAAACTGCTCATTATAGAGGATAATAAAAGCTACAGAGAAAAGAAAAAAATAGTTTTGGTTTTAAAGTGCCATAATTTTTATTGAGTGCTTGATTCCCCAGCAAAAATACTGATATGGGCATTTTGAATGGTTCCACCTTGCCTTGAAATTAACACCTCATTGCTCTAATTGAAAGTGAAAGTCATTCAGTCATGTCAGACTCTTTGCGACCCCATGGACTATACAGTCCATGGAATTCTCCAGGTCAGAATACTGGAGTGGGTAGCATTTCCCTCCTCCAGGGGATCTTCCCAACCCAGGGATCGAACCCAAGTCTCCTGCATTGCAAGTGGATTCTTTACCAGCTGAGCCACCAGGGAGATGGATGTTCATGAAACTTAAATTTCATGATGTATGTATATCAAATAATTTTTCTGTATACCTTAAGTTTATACAGTGTTGTGGCAATTATCTCAATAAAACTGGAAGAAAAATTCAATTGAAGAGAAAAGTTTAATAAAGCACCAATTTCCTTTTCCTGGCCACTCTCTCCCTTTCTTTATTCACCAGTTTCAGTATACTTACCTGAATCACACCGCCCAGAAAGGAAACAGCTGCAGCAACACTGATCCTTTGCATCTCAAAGTCAGATAATCCCAGCACACTTGTGTTACCGTGTGTGGTGAGGTTCTGGCTGCTCAGAGGGACAAGTCGTTCCACTGCATTAGCTGATATTAAGGACGTCAAGGCAAAAGTGCCTAAAAAGGGAAAGGGAGTCTTCTGTTAGTATCAGACTGAATAAACATTATTGTATTCCACCATTAAAGGTGAATCTACCTTGTAAAACCAAAACAGATCTTTTAGAAGCACTCTCCTCTGCAACCCCACTACTCCACCCTTCACTCTGGAATAAACAGAACTCACCTTTATACACACATATTACTTGCGCATTTCTTGCACAGCCACACCATCTACTTGCTATTCCCTCCTAGGCCATATGTTTTCCCACCTCTCTGCAGACCTATATAGAGAATGCAGGGCATGGATAAAGGTCCTAGTCTGGACTTGAATCCAGCTCCTCCATTTATCACTATCACAGCATAAAGTGCATTACTCTGAGTCTAAATCACCTCATCTTTAAAATGAGGCTGTTGCTGTTGCCCTTGTTCAGTCACTCAATCATGCCCAACTCTTTGCGACCCCATGGACCACAGCACTCCAGGCTTTGCTGTCCTTCACCATCTCCCAGAGCTTGCTCAAACTCCTGTCCATTTAGTAGGGGATGCTATCCAGTCATCTCATCCTCTGTCATCCCCTTCTCCTCCTGCCTTCAATCTTTCTCAGCATCAGGGTCTTTTCTAATGAGTCAGCTCTTTGCATCAGGTGGCCAAAGTAGTGGAGCTTCAGCTTCAGCATCAGTCCTTCAGGGTGATTTCCTTTAGGATGGACTGGTTGGATCTCCTTGCAGTCCAAGGGACTCTCAAGAGTCTCCTCCAACACCACAGTTCAAAAGCATCTATTCTTCGGTGCTCATCTTTCTTTATAGTCCAACTCTCACAACCATACATGACTACTGGAAAAGCCATAGTTTTGACTATATGGACCTTTTTGGCAAAGTAATGTCTCTGCTTTAAAAAAAAAATGAGGGTAATAATGCCTATATTCTAGAGTTTGAGAAGAATATGAAAGAGATGATAAACACCTCAATAAGTTCATATGGAAAAATGGGACCCTTTGCTGAATCTGAGACTCACTGCTGAAATGCTTGCTCCTCCAATCTACTCAGACAATCTACCATTGTCTTTCCTTGTTTGGCTCAAATCCCATATTCAACATAGATCCATCCCAGACCTTCCGGGCCAGGTTTAATCTTTCTATTCAGGGCACAGAAACAACAACATGCTGTGGCCCATAAAATGATTAAATATACCATTTCTGTCTACTATACCCAGATATGGTTCAAAGGTATTTCCCAAGAATTGTCCTGGCCTTACAGAAATGCAGGATCATTTTCAGCATGTTCCTCTTTCTGCCAAGAGTTCTGATGCTCTTATCTTGGCGCAGCATGTCTGAGAATGCAGCCACACCGGCAGGCCAGTTCCCACAAAGAGGGTGCAGCAATTTGGAACTAAAGAAACAAGTTGCAGCATTGTGCAAACATTCCAACTCACTACCTAAAGACCTTAGTTTGCCCCAGATCATAAGCGACACTTTGTGAAAAAGGGTCTACGTCACAAGATGTAGACATCTCAACAAATGGCATGCAGCCTCATAGATCAAGAGAGCCAATTCAAACAGAGACAAGGTCTCAGTAAAAACCCAACATAAGCAATCCCTTGGTTTCACAGGATAAGGCAGTATGTGCTGTGATTCGGAATAGTATGATGATGGTAGCCTCCAATAAACCTCACCTTAAATCCCAGCACACTGCATCTCAATCTCTTTATCTAAACATAGAAAGCATCCCTCACCCAATGGGGTTGTGATGAGACTTAAAAGAAATAATGTAATCACCTAGAGAAGGAAATGACAGCCCAATCCAGTATTCTTGCCTGAAAAATCCCATGGACAGAGGAGCCTGGTGGGCTACAGTCCATGAGGTCAGAAGAGTTGGACATGACTTAGGAACTAAAAAATTATACACACACACACACACACACACACACACACACACATTTATATATATGCCACATATCACAACATATGGCACCTAAAAAAGATAATTCACAATGAGATTAAAACCAAAATGCTCTGTTATTCAATATTAACTGTTCCATTGAGTTGATGGCACATAAAAATGTGTTCTCTCAGGAAGTTGTCATTCTCAATAAATCATCAATAACTACCTGCTCTCATGATCACTGTTCTCATCATAAATTATTAAATTAAGAACACATCAAAGAACAAATATATCTAATGATTAGAGACAGATTCTGGCATCAAAGATAAGCAATACCAAATAAAGAATGTCTGCCATTGAATCTGTTCTTGATAAGACATTTTTTCCAAATGTTACAATAAAATTTCTCAAAGTTTGATATTCCCGAGAATAAAGAAATGTGTCTTTTGACCTTTAAGTCTAGGACATAGAGTAAAATGATCTGTACAAAAGCCAACGAACAAACGACTAGAGAACTGAGAACAAAAATGATCTAGGGTTAATTTTTAAGTGTAGGCCTATCTTTCCTAGGATTTGTAAGATGATAAGAAGGAACTGAATGGTAAGAGGAAAAGGCCATCTCAAATGTTTTATTGAGGGGAGAAAAGTGAGTCTCACCTCCAAGTGAGTCACATCCCAAGATGTGACTCTAGAGAGAGATACTGCCAGAAAGTGTATGGGGGTCACCCACTGTGCCAACTGGTTATGGAGGCACTGCCTCTTTTCAAAGGCTGTTACTTTGCTGTTTCTGAGACAGCTGATGACAGTCAAGGATGTTGAGGCTGTGGTGACCGTATGAGGATGCTGTGAATGACATTTGACCTTCTTTCTCTTATTGGTATGGCTTCGTCTTGATCTCCTCCCCTTGTCTCCTCTGCCCCTTCCCTCACTTTGTCAACTTTTCACCCTATCTAGGCTTTAAGCCTACCAGTGGTAACTTTGAGTGAAAGTGAAAGTATTACTCACTCAGTCATGTCCAACTCTCCGTGATCCCATGGACTGTAGCCTGCCAGGCTCCTCTGTCCATGGGACTCTCCAGGCAAGAATACTGGAGTGGGTAGCCATCCCCTTCTCCAGGGGATCTTTCCAAACCAGGGATTCAACCCAGGTCTCCCACATTGCAGGCAGAATCTTTACCATCCAAGCCACCACCACTAAACCCATCTAGTAGCTTTAGAGTACTGTGGATAGCAGGGCCTCAGGATTGGACAGATCTAAGTTCAAATTCCTATTCAACTTATCTAACCTCACTCAGTTCCTTATTGGTAAAATGATGATAAATATCTAGTTATACAATTTGGGTAGAGATTAAATGAGATTTCATATGTAAAAATCATCTATCACAAGTCCTACCCCATTTGGTAAATAAATATTTGCTTACTTTTCTTCTAAAGACTATCCTTGAAGATCTCCCTAATCTTTTCTCTAAATTGCTGAACAGATTATTCTCTTTAAAAATATTTTTCTCTAATTTTAGAAGATAATTAAATCTTACAAATTGTCACTTAAGGGTTATCTTTAACAATTTTGTTTCCACTGGATTGATACCCAAGTTTCTGTTCTTTTCCTCTTTATTCTAAGACATTTTCTTTGCAAGTCACAAGAAGCAATCAGTGATTTAGTCCTTTAAAAAATATATATGTATTTTAAATTTAAATAAGAAAAAAATCACATTGTTAAAAAACAATACATTTGGTGTCTTTATAGTCTGGCTTTTAAGTTATTTGATTTTAAACATACCTCAAACATAATTTATTATTGCATTTCCTAATTCATTATTGCATTCTGACTATCAGAATTGGAGTTAAAGTCCCAGATAAAGTGACTGTTCTTTATGAAAGCAACATCAGTCCTTTAATAGTAAAATGGAGGTAAGAAGCTTCACATACTTCTATATGCCAAACTAAAGTACAACAAAATTATTTAAAAGAAAAATATGTTCTCTATACTAAATATTTTCAGGAAATTTAGGTGAAATTCTCTTGGTTCCTAAATTTAAGACCATAGAAAAGCAAAAAATAATCAGTATATTTCTTGAGTATAAATATATACACACAATGCTAATGTTTTAATATTATTCTAAAGAATTCTAAATGTGTTAGGATAAATAGAGAAATGAGAAGCTCTAGCTGACCCTGTCTTTCGGAGAAGTATTGATACATATGCAGAAATAAAATGCCTTAAGCATTTATTGTGTTACACAGTGTCTACAGTAGAGTCTGTAAATTATATATGTATTTTGAAATGTATATTATTAACCTAGTAGACTACAGGATTCCTGTTAATAATATTTGTTAACTGTTAGCTGTTAACAATATCTGTTAAATACAAAATGTTATATAAATGGCAGTTTCACAGCAATGCCACCTTAGGAATAATGATTCCTTAGGAAATAAAGTGGTTTATGTAAACTCATACTTAGGTATATCAAGTTAAATATTCTTGACTTTTTTTTATAAAGTAATTATGGTCTATTGGGAAATTGTTTTACTTTTTTCATTTATCTTTTGTTTAACAGAGGAAATGCTTCAAGGTCAGCTCTACAAGAATAGACTTTTTCTTGCTAGTGACATAGTTAACTGTTTTGAAGAATGAAAATAAATTGTTAGGAAATTAGAGAGCGGGAAAATTTGAATATAATGGGCTTCAATAAGTTCTAAATCACTATTGTGCTTTCTTCCTTTTATATCAGCACAAAAGGAAACTGCATCCTTGAGCAGCTGGTTGAAAAGAGGAAAAGCTTGGGCTTCAGATTTAGCCACATCTTGTTTGTAATCCGTGCACCTACAACTTAATCTGTGCTCTCACAGAAACCTTTCTGAAATGTAGGGTTTTTTTTTTTTACCTAAATATCGAAATAAAAATGTCTATTTTAAATGGTTTTATTAAAATAAAATATGTAAAGTTCTTAATAAAGCACCTAATAGTATATCTGAGATTCTCAAATCTAAGTACATATATATACACAAACATATACAGATAGATAGTGTCAACAGCAGACTGGTGCTTGCCAAGGGCATTTGCCCTCTGCCCCTATGGAGATTGAACTCTGTGCTGCTGCAGCTGTTGACCTTTGACATGCCCTGGAAGTAGTTCAGGGTGGACAGTGAGGCACTCTGCTCCAGGGAAACTGGTGGAACAGGACTTTAGACAGTTAGATATTTTCAGGCACTGATTTCGTGATCCCAATCCTTCAGTTCAGTTCAGTTCAGTCGTGTCCAACTCTTTGTGAGCTCATGGACTGCAGCACACCAGGCCTCCCTGTTCATCACCAACTCCGAGTTTACTCAAACTCATGTCTGTTGAGTCGGTGATGCCATCTCATCCTCAATCGCCCCCTTCTCCTCCTGCCTTCAATCTTTCCCAGCATCAGGGTCTTTTCAAATGAGCCAGTTCTTCGAATTGGGTGGCCAAAGTATTGGAGCTTCAGCTTCAGCATCAGTCCTTCCAATGACTATTCAGGACTGATTTCCTTTAGGATGGACTTGTTTGATCTCCTTGCAGTCCAAAGGACTCTCAAGAGTCTTCTCCAACACCACAATTCAAAAGCATCAATTTTTCAGTGCTCAGCTTTCTTTATAGTCCAACTCTCACATCCATACATGACCACTGGAAAAACCATAGCTTTGACTAGATGGACCTTTGTTGGCAAAGTAATGTCTCTGCTTTTTAATATGCTGTCTAGGTTGGTCATAGCTTTTTTTTCAAGGAGTAAGTGTCCTTTAATTTCATAGCTGCAGTCACTATCTGCAGCACCTTTGGAGCCCCCCAAAATAAAGACTGCCACTATTTCCATTGTTTCCCTTTCTATTTGCCATGAAGTGATGGGACCAGATGCCATGATCTTGCTTTTCTGAATGTTGAGCTTTAAGCCAACTTTTTCACTCTCCTTTTCCACTTTCATCAAGAGGCTCTTTAGTTCTTCTTCACTTTCTGCCATAAAGGTGGTGTCATCTGCATATATGAGGTTATTGATATTTCTCCCGGCAATCTTGATTCCAACTCGTGCTTCCTCCAGCCCAGCGTTTCTCATGATGTACTCTACATATAAGTTAAATAAGCAGGGTAACAATCTACAGCTTTGACGTACTCCTTTTCCTATTTGGAACCAGTCTGTTGTTCCATGTCCAGTTCTAACTGTTGCTTCTTGACTTGCATACAGATTTCTCAAGAGGCAGGACAGGTGATCTGGTATTCCCATGTCTTTAAGAATTTTCCACAGTTTGTTACAATCCACACAGTCAAAGACTTTAGCATAGTCAATAAAGCAGAAGTAAATGTTTTTCTGGAACTCTCTTGCTTTTTCGATGATCCAATGGATGTTGGCAATTTGATCAATCCTTGCATCTCCTCACATCTAGAAGAGCACTAAATCCCTTCATAATGACCTCAGCTCCTCGTGACTAGCAGAAAATCTCTTGTAAAATAAATGTGTGATTGCACTGAACTCCCTCTTCACCAAGATCTTATATATTGACTTTCCCCCACCCCCCATTGGGCTCCCCTTGTGGCTCAGCTGGTAAAGAATCCACCTGCAATGTGGGAGACCTGGGTTCGATCCCTGGGTAGAGAAGATCCCCTGGAGAAGGAGAAGGCTACCTGCTCCAATATTCTGGCCTGGAGAATTCCATGGACTATATAGTCCATGGGGTGGCAAAGAGTCAGACACAACTGAGTGACTTTCACTTCACTTCACTTCATCCCCCATTACTTCTTTGGAGCAGCTTCTCAGAGCTATCTGAGGTGTTGTCTTGTGGGCTGCCGTCCTCATTTTGCCCCAAATAACAAATTTAAACTGAAAATCTCATGTCGTGCCTCTTTTTAGTCAGCAAGAGACAGATTTAAAAGAAACTGGAGACTGTGTGGAACGGTGAATCTGGTTTTATAGATCTGGTGTGGCAACCAAGATTTTGCATTTCTAGCAAGATCCCACATAACACTGATCCTATTAGTTCATGGACCATACTTTAGATAGCAATGTTGTAAATGTCTGGTAATTGTTGACCCTATATCCTAAGACAGAGTCCATTGATATAAGAAGCTGAATTTACATAAATAAAACAATATTTTACAGGTTAATTTCTACATGAGAAAATGCATGTATCAATGTGATAGGCAGAATTATGGCCTTCCAAATGCATCCACATCCTATAAAGACCTCATGGTACATGTCAAAGGGTAATTAACATTGCAGGTGGGATTGAGGTTGCTAATAAACTGACCTTCAAATAAGATTATCCTGGATTGTCCAGGTATGCCCAGTGTAATCACAAGGGTTGTTTAAAAATGGAGGATAGAAGCAAAAGATCAGAGTGAGAAAGAGATTTGAAGTTGCTGTCCTGCTGGCTTTGAAGATGAGGGAAATACCTTGACTTCTAGAAGTTGAAAAAGTTAAGAAAACTGAATTGTTCCCTAGACACTCGAGAAAGAAATGCAACTCTACTGACATCTTAATTTTAGCCCTGTAAGCTTAATTTCAAACTTCTGATCTGCAAAACTGTAGAATAATACATTGTTCTTATAGGAAATATAGTTTTCTTCCATAATACAAACTGACCACTGAAGAAATAGACACAAAATGGTATTACTTATTTGCAGACTGAGCTCTTGCATACACAGAATGGATAAAAATGCCTCTATGGATATTTCCTCTTAAGTACTTTGATTATTAGTACCTTAACATTTAAGATTAAGGTATCAGTGCTGTAATGATTTAAGTCTGGTATAAGGACTTCCCTGGTGGCCCAGCCAGTAAGGTATCTGCCTACAATGTGGGAGACCCGGGTTCAACCCCTGGTTCTGGAAGATCTCCTGGAGAAGGAAATGGCACCCAACTCCAGTATTCTTGCCTGGAAAATCCCATGGACAAAGGAGCCTGGTAGGCAACTGTCCATGGGGTCGCAAAGAGTCAGACACTACTGAGCAACTTCACTTTCTTTTCTGTAATGATTATATCTTTTCTTAATTTTTATGTAGCAAGTAACAAATTAGACACTTGCAAATCAATTATCTCATCTAATGCTCACTACAGTCATGACTTTTTTTTTGACATTTTACTATCAAGAAAGCAGCAAATAGATCTTTAAAATTTTGCTCAAGATCATGCAGATAGGAAACAACAAATGTGACACACACCCACATCTATCTAACTTCCAAGTCTACTCTATTATCAGCTTATTTGTGATTCACCTTTTATTTGATAATGCAATGTTAGGCAACATAAGAAGTATATTAATGAGAGGGTCTGTAGAATCTAGGCTGGAAGAAATCTAAAAGATTGTGTAGTCCAATTTTTTTTTTTTTTTTTTGCTGCACTGGGTCTTCATTGCTTTGTGCAGGCGCTCTCTAGATGTGGCAAGTGGGGGCTACTCCTCGTTGCTGTGCGCGGGCTTCTCCCTGCAGTGCCTTCTCTCTCGTGGAGCACGGGCTGCAGGCTCGCGGACTTCAGCAGTTGGGGCTCACGGCTCTAGAGCGCGGGCTCAAGGGTTGCGGTGCATGTGGAATCTTCGAAGAACAGGGATTGAACCCGTGTCCTCTACATTGGCAGGCGGATTCTTATCCACCGTGCCACCAGGGAAGTCCTAACCCAAATATTGCGTGGAAAACAATTTTTAACATTTGAGTGACTAAATTTTATACAGTCTTCTCTTTTCCTCGGTGTGCTTATTTTCATTTCATTGTAAATTGAGAATATTGCCCTTCTCTGACAACTTAAAAATGAACGGAATCTTTAACAATAACCTTGGTTACACAGGAATAGAAAAATAAGTCACAGTATGTATTGGACATAAAAAGTTAAATATCTTGTCCTAATATTTACTGATATTAGTTGCTGATAATATTTGCCCTAATATTTTCAATAGTAAAGCAAGAATTGCATTGGAAATGTTATTAACAAATGATCACTTCTGAGTCCCTTTCATTAGCAGCATGAGAAGCATAAGAATAGACAGAAATTATTACCTGTGGCAACATGACGCCCCATTCCAAATATGGCGTAAATGATGGCGGGAAACAGAGACCCATACAAGCCAAACACTGGATGCACAGATGACAGAACAGCAAAGGCCAGCCCTGTGAATACAGAGGTAAACGGGACCACCTTTTAACCTCAACATACAGTCCATTACAAAGTAGAAGGGATGTTGGTTTATTAATGGTTAAAGGAACCACAATTATTTATTCTACTTGTTCAGTGAGAGACTAGCAACATTGTCCCAAATATCAGAAAATTTACTCATTAGCTCATGTTTACATTTCAATTCTAAAACCATTCTTTTAGGCCTACTACATTTTACCTTGACTACCGGAAGTCTGTAAGAAGACGTTAGCTCAGAGTGTCTTCCTGGTAAAAGTGATAGCATCACAGCAAAACATCTCCACACTCACTTAGAGAATCCTTTTCACATGTTCCGTCTATTCACACAATAGCATCTGTGAGATGGACAGAAGTAGTAGCAATACCACGGACAGATAAGAAGCCTGACATGAAAGGTGACTGATGCTGGGTCAAAAGGGACACACACATTCAAAGCTGCCTGGTTGACTGACCAGCTGACTAGCCAGAGACTGCGTATCGACCAGCGTGTGACTCCATGCATGTCTCATTACTGGACCCCAGCCTATATACTCAGGTACAATTTCTTAGAATGAAAAAAAATTAAACTTCTATGTATTCAAAGAATAAGTAAGGAGTAATTCAAAACTGTTCCTTTTTATTCTCCTTAGATACTACTGCCTGCCTAGTTTGATTGTTACAGGCACACAAAAAATTTTCCTAGACATGTTTAAATTAACACTAGCCATTTAAATGTGACCAAAGTATGTGTGAGTACAAACTGATTAAAGTAATCTTGTTTGTGGCTGTTCCTTGACATTAAACAGCTAGTTCAGCTGGGTTCTGATAACCCATTCAAATTTGTACAGTTTAATGATAGCCATTTGATTGGACATAGTGGACTTGACAAGCTACAAAAAGATTTGAGGAAGGAGGTAGCATTATAATCTAGACTACCTGAATGTCAGGCCAGTTAATTATTCACACTATGGAGCCTGGTACTCTGGTTCCCAGATCAGTACCTTTTTACTGCCTAACTTTCACTAATTTAAAGTTAATTTCCTTAAAATAAACTCTAGCTCTACATCAAATACTTTTCTCCAAGCAGTACAGGATAGTTCAGTTATAATTAAAATGTATGAAAAATCTACCAACTACTAGTCCTCTCTTTATTTTTAAAAACCTACTTGCATCGCTTGTTTACTAACAATGTATTCCTAAAAGTCTCGTGAAAACAAATAAAAAGAGGTTATAGAAGAGTCAGTGGCAGACGCTTCTCTAGAATTTCACACCGGCAGGATGAGACACAGCAATCTTATTGTTGAGGAAGGGGGTGCAAAGGTGCATATCTCGAAGCCAAGTTAGCACTGTAAGGTTATTTCCCCATCCCAATAACAAACACCTCCTGGCACTGATAGGGCAAGCAACTTTGTAAAAACACTGTGCACGTTACCTCAGTCACAATGAGGATGCTCCAACATAGAGCCACCTACCCCTACCCACTTAGGGGCAGCCAGACACGTAACAAGCCTTCTCTGCTCCTTGTACCTGACGTCTGCCCTCTGGGCCTGCACTCCCTAACGATAAAGGAGTGCATAATCCCTCTGTCTCAAGCTCTAATTTCTGAGGAGTCAGACTAAAGTATATTTAAATTTATTTTTCTATTAATAGATTAGAAAGTTTTATTTTAGGTTTATAACTAGTTTAAAACTGAGAAAAGCTCTATTAGAATTGCTGATAACTATAAAATTGGAAGACATTTCAAGTTTTTGTATGCAAAACCTTAAATATTATTTGAGAATTAACCAGTTCCATGACAATGTCCTTTATACAGTGTCGTACAATGAGCTTTATTTGATCTTCATCAAGTCATTTTTTTGTGGCAACTTACTCTTAACCAGACCACAAAAATATCTGCCATTGACATGATTTCAATGAGCAGCCAAGTTCAAAAACAACTGGACTAGATGATGATCATTTACTTTTATCTAGTTTGTTTCAGTTTTTCTGTTTCATATTCAGTGCTCTCATTTCATTCAGTTTATGTTTTCCAATTTCTCTTTTTCTTATTGTTGTTCTTTCTCAAACCTTTATCATGTGTAGTAGAAAAGCTTTTGTATACATATATATATAGAGAGAGATGTACAATATATATATTTTAGAAAACATGAATTTTTGCTTAGCTAAAAAATACATGACATTTTGGTTATACTTGTTTGACTAAGTATGAATAGAATGCTAGATTTATAATTTATAGTCACTCAAAACTTTCATATAATTCCATTTATTCTGACATCTAGTATGACTGCTAGAAGTCTAAAAACCTTATTATTTTAGCGATTTTTGAAAAAAAAATTTTATGAGTCTTGAAACTTCTAAGCCAATTCTGAGAATATAAAGGAATAACATGTTGTAAAAAAAATATGAAATTAACATGTGATACAATATTATTAACTAAAGTACTGATTTTTTTCAAATTTCACAAAATTTTATGCTAGTGGCCCTTATTTGTTTTTATACCTTATTCAAGATGCCACCTTATATTTAGTTGCATTGAGCAGCTTCAGCTGCATGCAAAAAATTCTAATAAATTCTCTTTTCACTTTTATTCCATTACGAATGTTTTCTAATTTTCTTTGTTATGGCTTATTAGATACAGCCATCATTTAAAAGCAGACACTTGATTTCCAAATATATGGGGATTTTAAGTATGTGCTATGTTAATTTCTCACTTTGATATTAATTTCTCATTTAAATGCTTTCTTCTCTGCAATCACCCTCTGTATTTTTCAATCTTTTAACTTTTTTGAGGCTTTCAGTAAGTATGTCAAAGATCTCTCTTGGTAAGTATCACATGGCACTTGAAAATATGTCTCTTATTTCAAATATCTTTTGATATTGTTTGCTAATATAATTCCACAGTGATAAGAGAACAGACTCTGTATGATTTAATACCTTTAGGCCGTGAAATTTTTGCATGTTGTTTTACATTTTTACATCCCTGGATATGTTCCAGTGTCTCCTGGTTTATAGTGTATGGGAACTTGAATGGAATTCGTATCCTGCTGTTTTGTGAAAATTGTATAAATCTTAATTATGCTGAATTGGTCCATCGTGCTTTACAGGTCTACTATATCCTTCTACTTTTCTGTGTATTCATTCTATTAATTTTTGAGAGTTTGATATTTAAACTCCAACTAAAAATCTTATCTACTTAGAAAAATAATTGTAATACATAGTGAAGTGAGTGTCAGTCACCCAGTCATGTTGACCTAATGGACTGTATGTAGCTTGCCAGTCTCCTCTGTCCATAGGATTTCCCAGGCAAGAATACTGGGGTGGGTTGCCATTCCCTTCTCCAGGGGATCTTCCCAACTCAGGGATCAAGCCCAGGTCTCTGGCATTGCAGACAGATTCTTTACCACCTGAGCCACCAGGGAAATCACTTATATATATATATATATTTATATATATGAACAATGTGCAATTTTGTTCTATATTCTCCAAGTATCCTATAAATGGGTTATCATACATTCATAATTTAAAAATATACATACCTGCAGCCATGACTCAAGGGAAGGTGAGTTGGGAAAAGACAGTGGTCTTAATTTCTGTTAAAATATCTTTGGAAATTTTACAAAAATATATGATCACATGAAGACAACTGGTCTTGGAAGAGGCACATGCAAATGGAGACGCAGTACTAAACAAGGTACATATTGAGCATGTAAAAATAAGTCTGATATGTCTTATACACAAATTGTGTGTGTGTGTGTGTGTGCGCGCTCAGTCATGTCCTACACTTTGTGACCCCATGGACTACAGCCTGGCAAGCTCCTCTGTCCATGGAATTTTCTAGGCAAGAATACTGGAAAGTGAAATTGTTAGTCCCTCAGTCGTATCTGACTCTTCGTGATCCCATGGACTGTAGCTCATCAGGCTCCTCTGTCCATGGAATACTCCAGGCAAGAAAATTGGAGTGGGTAGACATTCCCTTCTCCAGGGGATCTTCCCAAACCTGAGACTGAACCCAGGTCCCCTGCATTGCAGACAGATTCTTTCCCGCCTGAGACACTAGGGAAGCCTCATAAAGCTCTACTATGAAACCAAATCCACTTATTAAATTCCATGAGAGATTTAAAGGCACATGAAATATGAACTGTAAGGTCCTTGCCTGAAACAAACATTATCCAATATTAAACAATTTATGTTCAGTATATAGAATAATCAGTGTAGTCAAACTTTAAAGATAAAGAAACTGTGAGAGATGTGGTCATAGAAACTTTTACTGGAGGATTATAATTTGTGTGGGTTAAAACATGGACAGAATTTTTATACGATTTTTCCACAAGCTGACTATGTTCCTAAAGAGCTGTCAAGCACTTTGTTCTGATACAACTGATATTTTCATTAAGAGTATTTTCTAGGGCTCTTTTGTTGAATGTCACATTTTTTTTAGTTTCTAAATATTATTGCTTTTGTCCTGGAGGCTCTGTGTTCCATATATATAACTTACCCTGTCAACTATACCTTTCTTAAAGCTCCTATCCATTGACTCCCAGAGCCCCATGATATTCATGGACCACATTGCCCTTTGCTAGCTTCTCATCCACTTAAATATCAGTGTTTCCTAAAGCTTCTTCCATTCTGATTCCTCTGTTTATTCTAGAGGATCATCCACGCATGACTGATGTTGTGGGATTGGATGGGATAATCATAGTTAATTCAAATATCTTAATAATATTCACCTAAACTCTTGATTCAGAGGTACGTCAACTAGAGATCTGACAGGCACTCATGTAACAAATCCAAAATGTAAATTGTTTATTAATTATTTATTTTGATCCCATCCACCATAAGTTCCACCATAACAACAAAATGATATGCATTAAATACAAACACAAAATCGCAGCTGATTCCCTGTTTACATAACTCCTATCTCAGAAAATCACACTGTCACCCATCTAGTCACCAATTTAGAAACCTAGAAGTTATCAAAAACATGCTTTTTCTTTTT